TACTTTTAGGGCTGGGAAGGTGGCTCAGTGGTAGAGTGCTTGCCTTGTATGCATGAGGCCCTGGGTTCGATTCCTCAGCACCACATAAGCAAAAAGAAAAAAGCCGGAAGTGGCTCAAGTGGTAGAGCGCTAGCCTTGAGCTGAAGAGCTGAGGGACAGCGCCCAGGCCCAGAGTTCAGGCCCCACGACCGGACCCACCGGACCCAAAAAAAAAAAAAAAGAGTACATGTTTTTCTATAGTTACAAGCAGACCTAGAATAGAGACAGACAATATAGGCAAGGCATTGATGGGCAAGAGAGAGACCAAGTAAGTGATCATAATGAACCACAGAACTTAAAACTATGCAAGTAGCAAAGACAGAACATGAGAGGTAACACGTTAATTTCTTTTAGAGATAAATGATAAGAAAGAAACAAAACAGGATAAAGTGAAAATGACTGGGACGACATTCTTTTAAGACAGTGATTAGGTTAGATCTCTCTGAACTGAAGGCATTTTGACTTAAATAAACATTTTACTTTCCAATGAATTTCCCAATATAGACAGAGGTATTAACAAGGAATGGCCTCAACATGCTCTAGAAGTATCTCATGGGTGGCTGGAGCACAGTCAAGAGAAGCAGAAGTCCTAGAGGATGAAGTAAGCAGAAGACACTATGTACAGCCTCATACAATGTTGAGTTTCAAGCAAGAGAATACTATAAGCATACTGTTATTTAACTACTTGCTAAAGAACTAGGTAGTAGGGCTGGGAAGGTGGCTCAGTGGTAGAGTGCTTGCCTTGCATGCATGAGGCCCTGGGTTAGATTCCTCAGCACCACATAAGCAAAAAGAAAAAAGCCCGAAGTGGCACTGTGGCTCAAGTGGTAGAGCGCTAGCCTTGAGCTGAAGAGCTGAGGGACAGCGCCCAGGCCCAGAGTTCAGGCCCCACGACCAGACCCCCCCCCCCAAAAAAAAGAACTAGATAGTACTACCTGTGGGTATACAAGAACTAGAAAGATAGTTTCTATCCTTCAAAGAACACACAGTTATAGAAGACATGATATCTAGAATTCCTTTAAAATGTTCAAAGGTGGAGAGGGGCTGGAAATGTGGTTTAGTGGTAGAGTGCTTGACTAGCACGCATTAAGCCCTGGGTTTCCTTAGTACCATATACACAGAAAAAGCTGAAAGTGATGCTATGGCTCAAGTGGTAAAGTGCTAGCCTTGAGCAAAAGAAAAAAGGAGCCCAGGGAAAGCACCCAGACACTGAGTTCAAACCCCAGGATTGTCAAAAACAAAAACAAACTATAAAAGGTGGTGAGAGGGTTAAGTTGGAGAGGATTTAAAGACATAGTGAGCCAAGTGCCCATGACTCACACCTGTAATCTAGCTACTCAGAAGGCTAAGATCTGAGGATCAGTTTGAAGACAATCCAGGTAGGAAAGTCCATGAGACTCTTATCTCCAATTAACCACCAAAAAGCTGGAAATGGAGCTGTAAATAAAGTGGTGGAGAACTAGTCTTGAACAAAAAAAAGGACAGGGGCAGTGCCCAGGCCTTGAGTTCAAGACCTAGGGCCAGCACACGCGCAGGCGCGCGTACAAATACACACACACACACACACATACATACTTAGCTGGGTGCCGGTGGCTCATGCCTGTAATCCTAGCTACTCAGGAAGCTGAGATCTGAGGATCGTGGTTCAAAGCCAACCCGGGCAGGAACATCTACAGGTTCTTATCTCCAATAAATCACCAGAAAACCAGAGTGGCGCCGTGGCTCAAGTGGTAGAGTGTTTGCCTTGATTGAGCTGAAGAGCTCAGGGACAGTGCCCAGGCCCAAAGTTCAAGTCCCATAACAGACAAAAAAAACAAAAACAAAAAAAAGATATTCATTGTTAAATTTGACAGACAGAAACAGCATATAGTGGAATGGCCCAAAACAGTGTACATCTGTTATTTTCTATAAGTTTCATTCATGTATATACATATATTATATATATACATACATACACACACATACATACATACACACACACACACACACACACACATACACACACACACATGTGGCACTTGAACTCAGGGCTTTATATTCAGTTAGTTACTCTACTACCTTGTTTTTTTTTTTTTTGGCCAGTCCTGGGATTTAACTCAGGACTTGTGCACTGTCTCTAGGCTTCTTTTGCTCAAAGGTAGCACTCTACCACTTGAACCACGCATCACTTCTGGACTTTTCTGTTTATGTGGTACTGAGGAATCAAACCTGGGACTTCATGCATGCTAGGCAAGCACTCTACCACTAAGCTACATTCCCAGCCTCACTCTACTACCTGAACCAAGCCTCTCAAAGGGGGAAAAATGAATATTTATTACACACACACACACACACACACACACACACACACACACACACACGTTTGCCAATCCTGGGGCTTAAAAATGAATATATATTTATTACTTACACACACACACACACACACACACACACACACACACACACGTTTGCCAATCCTGGGGCTTGAACGCAGGGCCTGGGCACTGTGCCTGGCCTCTCTGTGCTCAAGGCTAGCACTCTGCCACTTGAGACACAGTGGTACTTCAGCTTTTTCTGAGTAGTTTATTGGAGATTAGTCTCATAGACTTTCCTGCCCGGCTGGCTTTGAACTGTGATCCTCAGATCTCAGTCTCCTGTGTAGCTAAGGATTACAAGCATGAGCCACTGGCACCTGGCTCAGAAGAATTTTTTTTTTAGTAGTACTGGGACTAGAACCCAAGGCCTCATTTGCTAGATGGGTACTCTACCAAGCAGGGCCTTCAGGCCTGATTTTTGCTTTAAAAAAAAAAAAAAAACTTGAGGAAGTAGAGCTGTGCCTCAGTGGTAGAGCACTAGCCTTGAGTAAAAAAAGTTAAAAAGCCTGAGATTTCAAGCCCTAGTAAGGGCACTAGAAAAAAAATTTTGAGGGAGGTGTATACGCTATATATGCAGTGTAATAAACAACGTAATAAATAGCAGATAATCACAGTTGTTAGGAAAGTTTTCTTAAAAGGCACTGACAAGTTGAGAATTGAGAAGACTAGGGGCAAGGGCTCCACTGCAGCTCAGGAAGGATTCCAAGACAAGAGTAAGCACACAAACTATAAGGAAAATTAAAAAGAAAGAAAGAAAAAAGCCCAAGTACTGAAGAATGTTTAAGGGCAGCAAACAGAATTAGAATTTTACATAGAAAAATTCACAGCACCTACTGTGCAGAGAATGGAGTAAGAGAGCAAGATTGGAGGCAAGAAAAGCACTTAGAAAATTGCTGCTGTAATCCAAACTACAAAATGTGCACTGTGGTGGGAAAGTCCCATTTTGGAACTGTGGAGTTTGTGGTACCAGTGAGATAACCACGTTGGTGATTAAGCCTACAAGGAAGAATCAAATAGGCCTCTCTTCTCAAATTCCAGGCCTGTCTGTCTGTCTGTCTGTCTGTCTGCCTTTCTTTCCTTCTCTTCTGACATCAACTACACTTCTCTGAAAGAACTATGTCTTACCTACTTAGAAATGAGAAACAGATCTTAACATAATAAATATCCAATGCTGTTGAATGAAAAGGTAACGTTGCTTAGGGAAGTCTGAGGAAAAAAGTATTTAGAATAGCAATTGTGTTTCTAGCTATGTTAGATCCTGCTCTTGGTTAAAAAAAAGTAATTTTAATAAGACCTACCAAGTTCTACATTACCACCCATTTCTCCCTTTCCATAACTGAACCCATGGACAATATTGTTGACTTTTTTTTTTTTTGGTCGTGGGTCTTGAACTCTGGGCGCTTTGCAGGCGCTCCTCAGCTCAAGGAGAGTGCTCTACCGCTTGAGTCACAGCACCACTTCCGGTTTTCTAGTGGCTTATTGGAGATGAGTCTCACGGACTTTCCTGTCCGGGCAGGCTTTGAACCTCGATCCTCAGATCTCAGCCTCCTTGAGTAACTTGGGCTTACAGGCGTGAGCCACCAGCGCCTGGCTTGTTGTTTACTTTTAAGGTATGAGAACTGAACTCAAAGCCTAACATATTGAGGCCTCTCTCCTCCAGCCCTTATTTTAGTTACTGCCTAACACAGTGCCTTCCCACTTAAGCTTCCCTGTAATTAACTACCAAATCCATTTTATTAACAAACATTAACAGTACAAGAGGGTTTCACTGTGAAAATCCTATACAGTGTACTTTGAACCAGTTCACTTCCTCCACTACGTGAATCCCATTTCCTTTCCTAACCCTCACACCTCCTTAGGATGTTATCTTGAGCTCAGTTCCTTCCTTCAGAAAATGTCTAAAATTTCTCTATTAGAAGCCCCGAAGGAGGATTCTATTTTCACCTTATGCAAAACACTTTACTCCTGCCGGGCGCTGGTGGCTCACGCCTGTAATCCTAGCTACTCAGGAGGCTGAGATCTGAGGATCGCGGTTCAAAGCCAGCCCGGGCAGGAAAGACCGTGAGACTCCTATCTCCAATAAACCACCAGAAAACCGGAAGTGGCGCTGTAGCTCAAGTGGTAGAGCGCTCGCCTTGAGCTGAAGAGCTGAGGGACAGCGCTCAGGCCCAGAGTTCAAGCCCCACGACCGACAAAAAAAAAAACACTTTACTCCTCTCTATCACGTCTGAAATTGGGGCATGCCTAGTAGTTATTAGGCCCTAGGTAAGAGCTCATATATATGTATGTATATATATATATATATATATTCCAATTACTCCAAGAACATTCAGTGGGTGATTGACCCGCCCTGGAACTGAATCCATTCCCTCAAAGACTAGCAATAGTCTAGCCACGGGGCACAGGGCCGTGCTCTTCCCCTGGAGAAACGGCGGATAAAGGAGACAGAGGAGTCTCAACTGGAATGGTAGCAGTTGGACCCTTTTTCTGCTCTGAGCTCTCGTCCCCCGAATCCCCCGCAACTAGACTTCACTGAGGCGAAATCCCGCAGCCCAGGTGCCATCCACCCTCCCAACGGGGCCGTAGGCCGGCGAGCCGCGAGCTTACCTGAGCCCCGCCCACCGACCCATGCAGCCGCAATAAGCACATGAGCCCAGGAAAATGTGGGGCCCAATGGACGGGTGGGTGCACAGGAGGAGCGGGGGGCCCCGGTCGTGGCTGTAGCAACCCGGACACACTCTCTAACAGCAGCAAACGTAGACGTGGGCCCGAGCTCATCGCCGAGAGACCCCCGGTCCCGCCGGGAACCCCCACGGAGGAGCCCGCAGTCGGCCCGCTGAGAACCGCTGCCGCCATCTTCCCGGGCTCGAGTCGTGGCGCGGCACGATGACGCAAACACACCGCGACCGACGTCTCTTAGGGAAAGGGGGTGAGGAGGGGGCTGCGGCCCTGCGCTGGGGGTAGGGGGAGGACTCCGGCTCCCGGCTGCCAGGGAGCATGCGCAGGGTGGGAGCGCGCGGCCGCGGTGGCGGAGATTTCGCGCAGAGACGGTTTTAGGAGGAACAGCGAGCCGGGACGGGGGCGGGGCGGGGCGGGGCGGCCCTAGGTACATCATGAACACGTGGGCAGGACAAAAGGCGCCAGAGTATGAAAGATTCCCTTTAAACCAGTGGCGCGGATTGGGACTCAGTAACGCCCATCTTCTCTTTCCTTTGGGCGGTACTGGGGTTTGAACTTAAGACCTCACACTTGTGTTCTGCAGCTTGAGCCACATCACCCCGCAGCCCTCGGTTATACCTAAGAACCACCCCTCTGTCTGAAATCACAGGCATTATTAACTACATTTCCAAGAATGTATTATTATTATTCCGACAATAATAATTCGCCTCTGAAAAACAATATAGGGAGACGTCAATAGAAAATGAAGCCGGGTGCCAGTGGCTGTAATCCTAGCTACTCAGGAAGCTGAAATCTGAGGATCGCGGTTGGATCCCCAATAAATGTAAATCCAAAAAATATATTTCTAATAAGTCACTCAGAAAAAGTCAGAAGTGGTGCTGTGGCTCAAGTGTTAGAACGCTAGCCTTGAGCACAGAGAGGCTCAGAGACAGCACCCAGGTCCTGAGTTCAAACCCCAAGACCAGCAAAGATCCCCCTTCTCTAGATAACATGTACTTTTCTAGTGTTATTCTAGCTACAAATGTGTACATAGTCTATTTCACAAGGGTAGAGTATACTGAAGGATCTGCCTCTCCCATCTAGGCCTAATCTTTTTATATATCTAAAGATAGAATATGAAAGATTGAGTTCTGATTTATTCCCCAGGGTCAAGCAAAGCACTAGGTGTGTGCTCACATGCTTGTCCACAGGCAGGTCGTTCTGACCTTGGCCCCCAGGAGCCAACAGCTCCCACACCTAGCATCCACTGTGGCCAAGGACATTGCCCTTGATCCTGAGGAGACCATAGCCCTTTCTTATTAAAATTCCCTGCTTCCTTGTTAAGTTCTATATAAGCCCACCCCCAAATCCAGTCCCTTGCACAACCCCCAAACCCACAGGAAGATCTGTGCCCCTCACAGACCTTATTCCTCAATAAACAGTCCTTGCCAGTTGATTGAGTCCAACCTATTCCTTTTCTGTTCTCCATTTTTCCCAACATATACACCTTAGCTTTTTCTTTTTTTTCCCTTCAGTCCTGGTGTCACTGGACAGAGGTGAGGTTTAGTGAAGCTTCCCTTTAAATATAGAAACTCTTCACTTAGGGTCCTTGACTTCAATCACAGAATAAGAATTTCTGAACAAGTCACAATGGTAAGAAAACTTGGCAGAACTTTATTGAATAAGCAAACAAGCAGACCAACAGACAAACAAGCACACAAACAGAAGGGTAGTGGCACACTCTAGCAGAGTGGGGCGCTCTCATAGGGATAGAAAGAGACATGCACAGACACACGGAGACACCCAGAGGGGCACACAGCTCCTTGGGCTGTTGGGGTATTTGTATGGTAAAGGCAGAAGGGTTGGCTACAAGTTATGCAAAGCTAGGTGCTTTGTCTTTGAGTTTTTAGGTAAGAATGCATCTTGCCATAAAGCAGATCCTTATCCTTGATTCCTGGGTGAGGAATGCGTACTTTAGGAAGGAATACATACATCCTGTTGTCTCTCCTTGAAGCAAAGACAGCACCTCTGTTTCTAAATATCATATTTCTTTCTTTTTCTATTTCTTTTCCTTTTTCTTTGTCGGTCATGGGGCTTGAACTCTGGGCCTGAGCACTTTCCCTCAGCTCTTCAGCTCAAGGTGAGCACTCTACCACTTGAGCTACGCGCCACTTCCGGTTTTCTGGTGGTTTTTATTGGAGATGAGAGTTTCACAGACTTTCCTGCCTGGGCTGGCTTTGAACCATGATCCTCAGATCTCAGCCTCCTGAGTAGATAGGATTACAGGCGTGAGCCACTGGCATTGGCCTAAATATCATATTGCTGAGTTGCTTTCATCAGGCCTCAGTTTCCTTACATTTTTCATTTTCCCCTAAATGGTTTTGTTCCCTTAATCTTAAGGAAAGTATATGAAGGAATATATCCTGTATTTGCTATTGGCTCATTTTATGCTGTACCTCATTTTTCCCTAGTCTAGTCTTCTTTGTTTTCCCTAAAAAAACTTTGTTCTTTTAATATTAAGGGAAGTAGATGGACAAGCTTTAAGCTTGAGTCTTTCAATCCCTGGCAACCAATTGCCATGCTTCATTTTCCTTAGGCTATCTTGCCTCACTGGGATTTGAACTCTGGGCCTGGGCACCATCCCTAAACTTATTTTGCTCAAAGCTAGCACTCTTGATCCACAGTGCCACTGTAATCCTTCATGACCATCCCAGGGGACCACAGAGACAAGCATGTACAGGAGAAAAATCATTATAAGGCTTATTAGAGGGGCCATATTTCCCAGGAGAGGGAGCACATGGCTTCTGTCCCTATCCAAGTGGCAGGAGGATCTGGGGCAGGAAGTATGCAAGTGGGTCTGGGCAGAGAGAGGAAGTGGCCAGCTGTATGGAGAGAACTCTAGGGTAAGGAGAAGCTCAGGTGTGAGTGGAGCTGAGGACCAGAGATGGGGATAATTAATACTAACAGCTTCTTCCAGCTTTTTCTGTTTATGTGGTACTGAGGAATCAAACCCAGAGCTTCATGCACGTTAGGCATGAACTCTACTACTAAGCCACAGTCCCAGCCCAACCTTGGCCTTTTCATTCATATCTCATGGGCATCTTTAAGCTGAATAGTAAGGATGAAATATGTAGGCCATAATTTAATAGTTCTATTGTTCAATATTTAGCTCTCCTCCAGGTTTTTACTAATATAGACACTGTAGTCAACACTGTCCTATTATACTTTTATGATTCAAATCTAATCATTTTATTGTTGTTATCATAGTTTTCTATTCAAGTTTTTTTTTTCTTTTGGTAGTAGTGGGGTTTGAACTCAGGACCTTCTTTTTTTTTTTTTTTGGGTTCTGGTCGTGGGGCCTGAACTCTGGGCCTGGGCGCTGTCCCTCAGCTCTTCAGCTCAAGGCTAGCGCTCTACCACTTGAGCCACAGCGCCACTTCCGGCTTTTTTCTTTTTGCTTATGTGGTGCTGAGGAATCGAACCCAGGGCCTCATGCTTGCAAGGCGAGCGCTCTACCACTGAGCCACCTTCCCAGCCCATGAACTCAGGACCTTCTACAGGCACTCTAACACCTGAGCCAAGCCTCCTGGCCTTTTTTTTTTCTTTTCTTTTTAAATTCTTTTTTTTTTTTTTTTTTTTTTTTTGCTTATGTGGTGCTGGGGAATCAAACCCAGAGCCTCTTGCATGCAAGGCAAACGCTCTACCACTGAGCCACCTTTCCAGCCCCACTCTTTTCTTTCTTTTTTTTTTTTTTTTGTCAGTCTTGGGGCTTGAACTCTGGGCTTGGGCACTCTCCTTGCACTCTTCAGGTCAAAGCGAGTGCTCTACCACTTGAGCTACAGCACCACTTCCGGTTTTCTAGTGGTTTATTGGCGATAAGAGTCTCACGGACTTTCCTGCCTGGGCTGGCTTTGAACCTCAATCCTCAGATCTCAGCCTCCTGAGTAGCTAGGATTACAGGCGTGAGCCACTGGCACCCAAATTTTTCTTTTCTTTTTGCTTTTGTGACTATCCTGGGGTTTGACTCTGGACTTCATATTTGTTTTTCTTTTTTTTTCTTTTTTTTTGGGGGGGGGGTCGGGTTGTGGGGCCTGAATTCTGGGCCTGGGCACTGTCCCTCAGCTCTTCAGCTCAAGGCTTGCACTCTTCCACTTGAGCCACAGCGCCACTTTCCGGCTTTTTTCTTTTTGCTTATGTGGTGCTAGGGAATCAAACCGAGGGCCTCATGCATGCAAGGCAAGCGCTCTACCACTGAGCCACCTTCTCAGCCCCTGGACTTCATATTTGCTAGGCAGGTGTTCTACAGCTTGAGCCATGCCTCCAGTCTCTTGTTTTCTGAGCTAGGCTTTTCCTTTTTGCTCTGCCTAGCCTAGACCTATAAGCTTCCTATTTATGTTTTCTACCTAACTGGATATGCATTACCCTACCTACCTTTTTATTGATTGAGATGAGGTCTCAATAACTTTTGCCCAAGCTATCTATGAATGATATTCTTCCTGTTGGCCATTATCCTCTCAGCCTCCTGAGTAGCTAAGATTATAGGCAGCAGCAGCCACAGACTCTTGTCTTGGTCTCTTCCTCTTTCCAAAGAGTCTATCTTCTAATTTCATGTTTTGTTTTTGTCTAGATTCCACATGTGAGAGAAGAGACGCATATCTGCCTAAGTCCAGCTTGTTTCATTTAACATGATGATTTCTAGTTCCATACTTTTTTTTGGCAAATGACATAATTTTGGTTTTTATGGTTGAATACTATTCCATTGCGTATGTGTGTGTATGTGTGTGTGTGTGTGTGTGTACTCCATGTGTGTGTCTGTATACACAGACACACACAATGGAGTATTTATTTCTAACCCATTCATTAGTTTGCAGGCATCAAGGCTGATTCAGTTACTTGGCTATTGTGAGTAGTGCATGATAAAAGTGGGTATACAGACAATTCTTGTATGTTGACTTATACTGCTTTTAAGTATGTGCCAGGAGTGCTTATTCTTGGATCATATGAAAGTACTAGTTTTAGCTTTATTTTTTTCTTCTCATTCATGGGGCTTGAACTCAGGACCTGGGCTCTTTTGCTTTACCACTTTGAGCCACAGTGCCACTTCTGGTTTTCTGGTGGTTAACTGGAGATGAGAGTCTCACAGACTTCACTGCCTGAGCTGGCTTTGAACTGTGATCCTCAAATCTCAGCCTTCTGAGTAGCTAGGATTATA